AGAAACGTTCTAAACTAGGTTTATACCAGATGACATTATTAGTATGAGTTTTACCGATGAGGTAATAAATATATTGCTCTGATGTTACAATGTCGTATTCTGGTGACTATTTTATATTCAACACTCCCAGTTTGCTTAAATGGAAGCATCATATTTATAAAAATGTTTTTATTTAGATCTTGGGAAATCGTTCAGCGTAAACTCTATACTAAGCGTAAAACTTGATACTGTATTCTATTCGACTAAGTATTTGACTCCACTGCGGCCGCGAGGACCTATTGTGGCTCAGTTTCTACAAGCTCTTTAATAAAAAAAGAGCATTAAAGTTCACCCTCAAGACCCAGCCTTCTAACATAGGCCGTTATGTCCGAGGGTGATATGTCTTCCAGGTTTGATAGGTCTAGCGTGGGTTTGCCAAACACCTCAAACCTGGTCCTGCCCCCAGCGGGGCAGGTACACATAACGTGCTTCATTGTTTCGTCATATTCCATACAGAGTCGTTATTCGGAGTCTTCCAGTAGTCCCATCCTCTGTAGATGTGATCTCAGCCGGCAGTGGCCAATGTATACTGCAGTAAGCGTACGCGCTCCGTTCCTACCAGCCTTTAGGAGTTCATCTGTTCTACGTTTGGATGGCCCTGCTACGATTGTCTTGGCATGTTCCATTCCGGGACTGTCATATCAGTCCCGAAACGTCGCACCCCTAACCTAACAGAGCCTGTCTCTTGCGAGATTTTTTGGTACGCTAAGTGTCGGTTCTGGGCTCACGAATGGCGAGCCTGCACCAGTTTTGGCGTGGGAATCAGCACGTTCATTTCCCTCTAGGCCGATATGTCCCGGTATCCATATTAGCGACACTTTGTTCCTATCTCCTAATATATTGAGTAGTTTCTTACAATGAAGAATCGTCATAGACGTGCTTTTTGTTACCTCAAATGCTTTCAACGCGGCTTGATTATTCGAAAATATGGTTATTGTTTTCCCGGTGTATTGCTGTTCTACCAGCAGTTGCACACAGGTTTCAATAGCATATAGCTCAGCTTGGAAAATTGTGGTGTGTTTTCCAAGACTGTGGTAGATCTCAGTCTTTGGACTGCTGCAGTAAATTCCTGCGCCAGATCCTTTATCGTTTTTGGATCCGTCTGTGTACCAACACATTTCGGCATCTAATAAGCCGTTTCTCGGCTTATCCCATTCGTCCCTATTCGGAAACAGGACGTTGTAGGTGCGCGTCAAGAGTTGGATTGGTGGTGTGAGATCCGAGACCATTCCCAGAATCTCATCCGATTGTAGTTCGTCTACTAGTCGATTTTGTATGAACATGATTGTTACTTGGCTCTCACGTGCCATATTTAGAAACCTATATGTAGCCCATCTCGCCTCTCTCTCCAAAAAACTTGATACTAGTAGGGATGCCAACATCGGAATTTCAATAGCAATAGTCGATATTTACTGTCGATGTTCTACTATTGCAAATTATCGATGTATCGATGTTTTCGAAGAAACTGCACTATCTATATCAAATCTTTGGTACTTTTAAGTTTGTCGCCCAATGGTTTAGAATTAGGTGGAAAATTCGAAACGAGATTGATAACAGATGCCATTATTGGTATAATCAGTATAATATTCCAAAATTTTCTGTTCTACCGATGAGGTAGAAAATATATAGCTCTGATGTTACATGTCGTATTCTGGTGACTTTTTTATATTCAACACTTCCAGTTTGCTGTATTTGAATCTACATATTTATAAAAACGTTTTTATTTAGATCTTGGGAAATCATTCAGCGTAAACTATTGATGTTAGTAGGGATGCCAACCATACATCGATGTTTTTTAAATATTGGAATTTCGATAGCAAAACATCGGTGTTTACTATCGATGTTCTATTATTGCAAATTATCGATGTATCGATCTTTTCGAAGAAACAGCAACATTCGCAACATCCGTATTAAAAGTTTTTGAAACATCGGTATTTCAATAACAAAACTATTGCTCTACTATTGCAAATTATCGATGTATCGATGTTTTCGAAGAAACAGCACCATCTATATTAAATGTTTGGTACTCTTAGATTTAGTCGTCCGCTTGTTTAAAATTAGGAGGAAAGTTCGAAACGAGGTTGATAACAGATGATGTTATTATGATCAACATAATAGTTATTATATACTATTCCAAAACTCTCTATTCTACCGATGAGGTAGTAAATATATTGTTCTGGTGTTCCATGTTGTATTCTGATGAGTTTTTTTATATTCAACACTTCCAGTTTGCTTAAATTGAATCTACATATTTATAAAAACGTTTTTATTTAGATATTGGAAAGTCGTTCAGCGTAAACTATCGATGCTAGTAGGGATGCCAACCATACATCGATGTTGTTGAAACGGTATCGATATTTTAATAACAAAACATCGATGTTTACTGTCGATGTTCTACTATTGCAAATTATCGATGTATGGATGTTTTCGAAGAAACAGAGCACCGCACCGTCTATATTAAATCTTTGGTACTCTTAGATTTAGTCGTCCGCTTGTTTAGAATTAAGAGTAAAGTTCTAAACGAGGTTGATACCAGATGACATTATTAGTATAATCAGTATACTATTCCAAAATTTTCTGTTCTACCGATGAGGTAGAAAATATATTGCTCTGGTTTTGAAAGAAATATATTATTTAGTCCCGTAATTATTTTATAACATAATAGACATTTAAATTGTATTTTTATAGTTTATTTTATATCACAAAAAAACATAGATTTTTATGGTAATGTTTTTATACTATTTCTAAGCGATGTTTTTATACATTTATAACTTGATGTATCGATACATTGATGTTTCGTTTTTCGATGTTTGCATCCCTAGGTGCGAGTAAGTAGTTTTGCAGATATTCTGCAAAACTAAAAATCATATCAATCAGCCCCTTTTTTGAATAAACTCTCATTTTAAGTACAAAAATATATAATATTCAAGACAAAACATAGATTACAAAGATATAAGTTACTAGGATCACTTTTATAGATACCTAACAAGGGTAGATAAACAGTTCAAAGACTCGAAGAATTAAAGTTACCTTTTTTTAATCTTAGAATCAGAAAATACTATAATATAAAGGAGTTCCATTTAAAAAATACAACTTTTATGTGTATTTTTATATGGGACACTGTACCTTATACATATTTATTTAAATTGCAATTCTAGTAGACCTTCAAGGGGCCCTTAACAAATAACATGCAAAAATTGAATCGTTTGAGCACAACACTCATGTCGAATAACCCGGAGCAAACTATTAAATATGAATCAATTTAATGGCAAGTAATACATGTACTTCGTTAGGCAATAGTACACAGAATTTCCTAAAATAAAATGTTATCTAGTACTTTAATTAAATTCAAGTTTAATGACAGTAATTTTATATCTACATATGCTTCGGCTTGTTAGGCCTTTTTCAAAAGTTGTTAACCATGATCACTATGCAGAGTGGTCATGGTTTCAAACACCAGATGATCAGGCATCAAACCGTAGAATCAATCCTGACGAATGACGCATACCCGGCAGAAGCAATTTTTTAGCATAGTATAAGGAAACTAGTAGCTTTACTCCTTGTCAAATCCTTTATTCTTTTTCTGCCACTTTATGCCCTGGTTCTCGCGTCCCGTGACCACTGACGTAGCTGTATAGTAGTGGTCTAGAGCTAGGCAAAGTATAGTCGTGGCACTCGCCATAGTTTCACAGAGATGTATTTAGAAAAATATGAGTTCACAATAAAATAAAGTAAAAAAAATGATTATCGAGTAAAGATTTGCTTGAAAACAGAATATTTTTACATTTCGTGTAAGTAACAATTCCTCTGTGTCTGAAAATCTTCCGATGGGAAGAAATGCGGAAAAAATATATAATGACATATTTTTATATTATATATGACATAGTTTTATCTATTTCAAAGATTTTCTACAACATTAATGTGTTTGTTTTGTAGTAATATATTGGTTAGGTGATTTTCATTGGATAACTAATACCTTGAGCAACACATTGTACTAAATAATAAAATAACATATTTAAACTTCAATAATTGCTAATAAACATTACAGAAGTTTCAAAAGAGAAAAGAAGCACGAACAATGAGAAATAGCATCACTACTTTCTCACGTAATAAAAGAATAATTTTTTAGTTATTGTTACCGAGTCCCGAAGGTACCGAAAGAATCGGGAATTAATAATTTCGAGACCGGGTTCTTTGATATCTCAAAAGAATTGGAAATTTCCGGTTCTGAACCTTAGTTACCAGATTATCAAGAAATGTTTTTTAACTAAAAACTAAAAAAAATTCCAGATTTTTTTTTCAAAAAAAAATTGCGCGAAAAATCATATTTCTAGAGCCAAAATATACTACCCCTAAAAATATTTGCACTTATTTAAGACTCACCCTGTTTAGGGCGATTCACGGTTATGGTTGGTACGTTATAGCGTTTCCGGAACCGGAGCTGTTTTTCGGAACCAGTAATTTCGGTACCATGCCTGTTTTATATTAACATAATTATCAAAAAAAATCAATCAATTATACAAGAAATTAAATAGCGTCACCTCACAATAAGATATAATGGACTCACCCCACAAAGATTGCTTCTCCTCCAGCAGCCGGTCGGCTTCAATGATGCCTTGATAACACACACAATTACACGGATTTTAGGAAATAAATCAAAGCGTGGTACCACTTCGGTTGATCATGAGCGAGTCCCTCATCACACTTCCGCTGATCCCTCGCGGGATGGGTCATGCGCCCTTCTATCTAAATGTGAGGCAGTACCGCGGACACCATAATAAAATTACACTAGATTCAAATATTGACAATATCAAACATTCCGCCCACCAAAACAAAATATAATATATTTTATTTTACTTAAAAAAAATAAAGAAAATTTAAATATTTGTACATCAAATACCCCATAAAATTAATTGACTTCTCTTAGACATCACACACGTAAAATAATTGAAATAGTAGGTTTATTGATCGGGCAGAGGGCACTGTTTAACTAATGGTCTATCGAAAAAAACCTTAGTCGTTTGAATTTGCGCCACACGTACAACCTGATCTGTACCTGGATATAATTTAATAATTCGACCGAGTAGCCAACGCAGAGGGGGTAGATTTTCGTCCTTTACTACTACTAATGTGCCAATTCTAGGCGAATTCTGTACGCTGTTCCATTTAGCTCTCTGCTGAAGTGTATACTCTACATGCCATCTTTTCCAAAAATGTTGCTGAAGTTGCTGAACTAATTGCCAACGACTTAAGCGGTTTTGAGTCACATCGAGTAAATTTTCATCAGGAGGAGCTGTATGTGGCTCAAGAGTCAAAAAATGTCCTGGAGTTAAGCTGCCAAGATCATTTGGATCTGGACAACTACACAACGGCATCGAATTGAGCAATGCCTCGATTTGAGCTAACAGCGTTGTCAGCTCTTCAAATGTTAAAATTTGACAGCCTATAACACGATACAAATGAGTCTTTACCGATTTAACAGCACTCTCCCACAAACCACCAAAATGAGGAGCAGAGGGAGGGTTAAAATGCCATTTAATAGACAAGGTCTCAGAAGACTGTTTACAGTAGGATAGTAGAAGATTATAAGCTCCGATAAAATTTGTACCACGATCACTGTACATATCTGTACATCTTCCACGCCTACGAAAAGATGCCAGAAAGGCTTCAGAAGGAAGATCCGAAACTGCCTCCAGATGGACAGCTTTCGTACTCATATAAACAAACACGCATATGTAAGCTTTCTGACTACGCACACCACGATGTCTTCCTAACACTATCGATAAAGATCCAGCAAAATCTACTCCACAATGAGTAAAAGCTTTTATTTGGGCAACACGAGCCGGAGGCAAATTGTTAAGGAAACTTAATATTTCTTATAAAATTATTTTCTTTTATGTAATTTCTTAGATTAAGATTAATTATTTCAATTTCTTTAAATTTTAAATTGCCGCACTTATACCTGCTTCCTGCAACATCAGTGTACGCATGTCCGAACACTAGGAAGTGTGGCACACAGTCTATTACAAACCGTCGTACGACGAAATTGGTCAGCTAACCGGTACGCGCCGAAAGTCTGAACTTAAAAGTTAAATCCCTTCAAAGACGATTTATGTTAGTGTATGTGTGAAAATTAGCGCTGAGAAGATCAAGATCGAGAAGAGGGCCCTCTGAAGCTGTCTGAGACGACCATTAAAGGTAGGAGCAGGTTTCTCATTTCTCTGTGCGGTTTCTCCCAGCTATTAACGTAATTTACATTGATAAAATAAGACCAGTCAAACTAAAATTTAAAATTAATACAGTCCACAACTGCATTTCTGCACATTTTTGGTCCATACATAGCCGGATTTTATTTTATAATTCTTTATAATATATCAGTTTTCCATTTTGCGATTTAAAATCCATACATTCCACGGATACCAAGCCATATAGTTTTTTGGTTCATTTTTTGTACGAGCGCGCAGCGATACAAATACGCACCAATTTACTTGGTCGGGTAAATTCTAAGCGTCGTAGAATTGTACTATCGTATTGTACTATCACAATTGTACTTAGTACATTTTTTTTGATGGTTTCACATTTGTTTATAAACAATATTTTTTACTGATATTAATTCTTGCAGTTTTACCTGAACTCAATAATTATTATTTTAGTTTTAATATTATAATTTCATTTATTCAAAATCAGATATAATATTAAAACATTTTCACTATGTCAGATAAAATTTCTAAGTATGATTTAAAACGAACAACAGCGTTTAACCGTTTAAAAGAAACTTATGACATTGGTGTTGCAATATCTAGTGACAACTCTCAAAAATCGATATTTTTAGCTAGAGTAGAGACTATTGACAAGGTGTATGAAGATTTTATGACTTATCACAATCAAATTATTTCTCTCATATCAGACGAAGATTTTAAAAAATATGATGCTTTACGTATATCAGCTGACAACGCATTCTACGGATCTAAAGCTATAAAATATCAAATTGTAGGTGACAATTCTTTGACAAATAATTCGACCAATGTTTCCACTCCTAAAATTCTGCAAAATTACCGAAAATTACTCTTCCTATATTTGAAGGCGATTTCAAAAGTTGGTCTGGATTTTTTGATCTTTTTAATACTTTAATACATGAAAATTCACAATTGTCAAATGTAGAAAAGTTCCAATATTTACTAACGTCATTGGGTAAAGAACCTCTATCTGTAATTAAAGGACTTCCAGTCACTGAAAATAATTATACAGTTGCTTATACTGCTATTAAAAATCGATATCAAAATAAAAGATTGTTGGCTACTTATCATTATAATGAAATCTGTCAAGCTGGACAGGTCAGAAAAGGAACTTGTACTGAACTTAGAAACCTTTTAAATATTTTTTCCGAAAATATTTCTGCGCTACGCGTTTTGCAATTTCCTGTTACTCATTGGGATTTTCTCTTATTTAATATGTTATTGCAAAAATTAAATGTTTCTATTAGGACTGATTTTGAAGTTCAAAATACTGTCGAAATTCCGACATATTCAGATTTAACACATTTTTTGGAAAATAAATGTAAAGCCTTAGAGTCAGTTCAGTTTACTACTTCATACAATAATGAACATTATAAGGATAAGAGCAAACAATCGTATCAATCCTCTAGTTTTTCATCTAATAAAAAATCTTCAGAAATTAAAACTGGTTATCCAGCCTTTATGACAACAAGTAATAACAATGCCACACCATATCAATCTAATAAGGGGGACAAACTGAAATGTGTACTGTGTTCATCTTCACATGCATTATACAGATGTTTTTCCTTTCTTTCAAAAACACCGCAGGACCGGTTAAACTTTGCTAAACAACACAATTTATGTACAAATTGTTTGTTATCTTCCCATTCTGTACGAAAATGCAATTCTTCTTTTAAATGTAAAATTTGTGGATCTCCTCATCACACATTATTGCATCTGGATAAAGCTATAGATAGTTCTTCATCTAATACTCCAGTCAATTCAAATTTCAATCACACTGATGACCGTGCAATCCTAGAGTCAACTCCTGGCCCTTCTGTCAGTGCTATGGCGAGCACGTTATCTACTAAACAATCTACGGTTTTATTATCTACAGCCATTGTCGACATCAAAGATATTCGGGGAAACTTTCAACAAATTCGAATTCTCTTTGACTCCGCTAGCATGGCTAACTTTATTACAGAAAAATGTGTAAATCGTCTTGGATTACCACGTAAACGCTTTTCTATTCCCATTGAAGGACTTAATGGAATGTCGGCGCAAACAAATCAGGGCGTCACACATTGTACGATTAAACCATGTAATGATTCTAATCCTCTATTCTCTTTTGATAGTATCATTTTACCGAAAATTTGTTCTGACCAACCTAAGATAAATATAAATCCTTCGTCTTGGACACATATCCAGAATCTTAAATTAGCTGATTATTCGTTTCATAAACCAGGTCCTATTGACCTTTTAATTGGTGCTGAATTGGTACCTCATATTCTACGTTCGGGACGGATTTTAGGTGAACCGGGTCAACCTGTTGCTTTAGAAACAATTTTCGGATATATTCTTCAAGGCATGGCAGTTTCTGACCATGTACCATTAAATAATACAACTCTGCTAAGCTGTCATACTTCTATTGAAAATAACTTAGATATTCAGCTTCAAAAATTTTGGGAAGTTGAGGAAATTCCTAAAATTTCTAGCCTGTCTACTGAGGATGTCCAGTGTGAGGAAATATAGATCGCTAACTTATAGAGATCAGTCTGGCAAATTCTGTGTACCTCTGCCGTTTAAAATACCGAATCCATTCTTCCGTAATACATGTTATCAAGCTCGTCGACTATTTACATCACTAGAGTTCCGGCTTGCTAAAAATCCAGAGCTTCGTAAAGCTTACTGTGAGTTTATGCAGGATTATCTCAACAATGGACATATGGTATTGATCCCTCCGGAAGACTATAACTCTCCTACAGCTTACTACATACCTCATCATTCTGTTATAAAAAATGAGATATCTGGACCTAAGCTTAGGGTGGTTTTTAATGCTAGTTTTCGAGACACGAATGGAACATCTCTCAATGATTCTTTATTTATAGGACCTAAGTTACAACAGGATATTGCTTCTATTCTTTTAACTTTTAGATTTCATCTATATGTTTTTATTTGTGACATTAAGCAAATGTATAGACAAATTCTTATTCAACCACAATTTCAAAACTTTCAAAGAATCATATGGCGTTTTTCTTCAGATGAACCAATTCAAGAATACAAACTGCTCACAGTGACATACGGGGTATCGTCTGCTCCATATTTAGCTCTTCGAACACTGCAAGAACTTGCTAATCAGGGAGAGTCTCATTTTCCTTTAGCTGCAAAGGCAATAAAGAAAAATATTTATATAGATGACGCAATTTGTGGTGCAAATGATCTAAATTCTGCTCTAAGTTTGCAACACGAACTTGTTGATCTTATGCGTACTGGGGGGTTCGAATTGAGAAAATGGGCAAGTAATCAACCTGATTTGTTAAGCCATATTCCTCCTTCTGATGTACAAATGTCTTGTAGCTTTGACAAAGAAGAACCTTCGTTCATTAAAGTTTTAGGTCTAAAATGGTGTCCAAAATCTGACGAGTTTACTTATTCTTTTAATCCAGTTGATCGCCAATGTACTAAACGGAATATACTTTCCGAAATTAGTAGAATATATGACCCTATTGGTTTTATTTCCCCAGTTATTCTATTAGCAAAATGTCTTCTACAAAAACTCTGGGAATCTAATATATCTTGGGATGAAACTCCTTCTACAGATATATTGCAGGTCTGGAATAGGTATAAATCCGAACTATCCCAACTAGCTGGAATTAGAATACCTCGACGTGTAATTTCTGATAATATTTCTTGTATGGAACTGCACGGTTTCTGTGATGCTTCCCAAACTGGTTACGCAGCCGTCATATATTTTCGGACTATCAATGATAGTGGTCAAGTAGTACCTTTTTGGTCACTGCTAAGTGTAAAGTGGCTCCATTAAAAATTGTTTCATTGCCTCGTCTAGAGCTCTGTGCAGCTGTTTTATTGGCGGATTTGCTTACTTTTGTTACTACTACTTACGCAGATTATCTCTGTTTTAATTCCATATATGCATGGGCTGATTCGACTGTCGTTTTAGCCTGGTTAGCTGCCAGTCCTCATAAATGGAAAACTTTTGTAGCTAACAGAGTAAGGCATATCCAAGGCAAAGTTTCTAACACTTCCTGGCGTTATGTTCCGTCCAGTGACAATCCTGCAGATTGCGCATCTCGTGGTTTAACTGCATCTCAACTCTTAGAACACAAAATTTGGTGGCGCGGTCCAAACTTTCTTCAACATTGCAACCGAGATGTCTGGCCTGCTCAACCTCATTTAGAAATGTGTGAATCTGTCTACAGTGAAGAAAAACAAACATCTCTCCATGTTTCATTAGAAGAAGATATCATATGCGATCTGCTTCACAAGTTTTCTTCGATACGTAAAATTCAAAGAATTTTAGCCTATGTTTTAAGATTTTTCCTTAAATCTAAAGATTCACTGCAAAGTAAAACCCCTTTTATTTCATCTTCTGAAATGCATAAATCATTGATTTATATGCCAGTCCTCATAAATGGAACAACATAATGGACTCGGAAGGTCTTGTCAGGGTGGGTGGCAGACTTAACAATAGCAACTTCACGTACGATGTAAAACACCCTATATTATTGCCTAAATCACACAGACTTACTGATTTGATTATTGAGTGGATTCATCAAGCAAACCTTCACCCAGGTTTAAAGACACTGCACTGTTTAATACTTCAACAATTTTGGATACTATCTCCACGAAGTTCTATATACAATGTTTAAATCGATGTATTCGTTGCTTTCGCTGTAAACCTAAATCATACAATCCTTATATGGCTGACTTGCCATCGTTACGTATTTCACAAATGAAGGCTTTTTCGTCCATTTGTATTGATTTTGCAGGTCCCTTTTCTCTAACAATGCATCGATACAGAAAAGCCAAGATCTATAAGGGATATGTTTGTGTTTTTGTATGCTCAGCTACCAAAGCAATACATCTTGAAGCTACTTCAGACCTTACTTCTGAGGCTATTTTGGCCGCTTTTAAGCGTTTTGTTTCGCGTCGTGGCAGATGTTCTTTTACTTCTAGTGATCAAGGTACTAATTTCAAAGGTGCCAGCAACCAAATGCTTCAATTCGCCCAGGTTGCGGCTCAAGTTTTATCCATTACTTGGAAATTTAATCCACCCGGCAGTCCTCACTTTAATGGCCTGGCCGAAGCCGGTGTAAAATCTATGAAATCTCATTTATATCGAACAATCGGCTCTCAGATTTTGGCATATGAAGAATTCTCCACTATTCTAACCCAAATTGAAGCAGTGCTGAATTCTCGGCCATTATCGGTTATAAGTGCCGATCCCAATGATTTACAACCATTAACTCCCGGTCACTTTCTGACCTTAGAACCTTTAACAATTGGTTTTCCAGAACCTGATCTGACCTCTATCCCTCTTAATAGATTGTCAAGATGGCAACTAATTCAACGTATGCATACTGATTTTTGGAAACGTTGGTCTCAGGAGTATGTACATTTAATGCAAGAACGGCATAAATGGACTGAACCTACTCCTGAAATAAAACTGAATTCATTAGTTCTGATCAAACATGAAACAAAATCTCCGTTATCTTGGGAATTGGGTAGAGTCATAAAGCTTCATCCCGGAAAAGACAATATTGTTCGTGTAGTTACAACTGCACATGGGATATTACAAAGGCCAGTTGTCAAAATTTGCCCTTTACCTGGCAACTAATAAGGTAAAATAATTCTTTATACATTTTTTTTATTCTTAACTTTGCATTATTATTTCTTTTTTCCTTTATCTTATTTTTAAAAACATATGTTTTGGTGGGTGGAATGTTAAGGAAACTTAATATTTTTTATAAAATTATTTTCTTTTATGTAATTTCTTAGATTAAGATTAATTATTTTAATTTCTTTAAATTTTAAATTGCCGCACTTATACCTGCTTCCTGCAACATTAGTGTACGCATGCCCGAACACTAGGAAGTGTAGCACACAGTCTATTACAAACCGTCGTACGACGAAATTGGTCAGCTAACCGGTACGCGCCGAAAGTCTGAACTTAAAAGTTAATCCCTTCAAAGACGATTTATGTTAGTGTATGTGTGAAAATTAGCGCTGAGAAGATCAAGATCGAGAAGAGGGCCCTCTGAAGCTGTCTGAGACGACCATTAAAGGTAGGAGCAGGTTTCTCATTTCTCTGTGCGGTTTCTCCCAGCTATTAACGTAATTTTCATTGATAAAATAAGACCAGTCAAACTAAAATTTAAAATTAATACAGTCCACAACTGCATTTCTGCACACAAATCATTCATAAATGGTATCAAATTGGAAGGCGTAATTCGGAAGCATCGATAACACTCTGAAAGGACATGACGAATAGCTCGTCGAGCTGATAATATCCAAAATTGTTGCAAAATTAAATATTCAAGAGTTCTAGGTCCAGGATGCAAGTTCTTGTTATGAAATTCTTGAATAACTAAATAAGTTAGTCGATGGTCCCTAGGAAGCAACATAGGATGTTTAACGTCAAATTCCAAATTAGCATATTTTAAACAACCCCCTGAGGACTCCATCCTCGTCTAGAAACGGAACTAATTTCCTAAGCGGTTTCGAACATGGCACCTTCTCTTTTAGTTTAAGAATATCAGCAGAAAAAACGTCATTTTGCACAAATCTCACAATCACTATCAACGCCTTATAAAGTTCTACATAACTCAAACACCCTACTTGTTTTTCGCACTTATGATTACGCAAGTTATTCACAAAACGAAGGCAATAGGAAATTATGCGTTGAATTTTACTTAGTGACCAAAATTTCTGAAGAATTTCAGAAAGAAAGTTGTCACAAAATATAGCCATATACACTACTTTCTTCTCTTCTAAAGTTACAGCTGTAAGTATCTCGGAACTAACACAGTTTGGCCAATATGAATTTGATTCTGCAAGCCAGGGAGGGCCCGCCCACCACAACGAATGTGAGACGAACTGTTCTGGAAAAATACCACGCGATGCGCAGTCTGCGGGGTTCACTTTACCATCTACATAATTCCAACATTCCGGGGCAACCTGTTCTTGAATATGGGAGACACGGTTGGCGACAAACGTTTTCCAACGATGGGGAGACGACCGGATCCAAGCCAATGTTACAGTTGAATCTGACCAACAAAACACTCGCCTCACTCGCATATTTGTTATGTTACTCAAAACGAATGCAATACAGTCTGAGAGAAGAGAAGCTGCACATAACTCTAATCTGGGAATAGACATCGTCTTCAAGGGAGCTACTCTATTTTTGGAGTACAACATAGAAACCACAACTTCACGTTCAAGCACATGCCGTAAATAAAGAACTGCACCATAACCAACCTCCGATGCGTCACAAAATCCATGTACTTCAACATACACACATTCATCACGTATAACATACCGAGCTATAGAGAGTATAGACAAAATAGAAAGTTGCTTGTGATACAATTCCCACTCATCTACAATTTTCCTAGAAGGTAAAGCATCCCATTCCAACCCCTGAAGCCACAATTTCTGTATTAGACACTTGGCAACCAATATCGTGGGAGCCAAAAATCCCAAACGGATCATATATTTTCGCAATTTCGGATAATATATTACGCTTCGTACACTCTTTACTTACAGGTTTCACATAATACAAAAAACAATCTGTCAATGGAGACAACTGTAATCCTAGAATTTTCATACCAGTTGGTTCCTTATCACTAAAATATATCACTCGCTGAGTAAGGAATGAGAGCAAGGAACTGATTCTGACAAAGTTGGCTCATTGCTGGACCATTTACGCAACTCAAAACATCCCAAGGATAACAATTCAATAAGTTGCCGCTGCATTTCCAATGCTTCAGACATACTAAACTACACTAAACATTTTAGGGAATGATTACGTAAAGATTTCACTTAGCATCCTTTTTAAAAGATATGTATGGTAGTTTGCAAGTAAGGTCTTTGTCTTGTTCTAGATTAGATTTCTAGAGGTTGATCTCGGCCTGACCCACTGCGACCTTCTCAGATCTATTGTGGTCTTGTCTTGTTCTACAATGAAGTTTTATGTACCAATAGGTTATATACTACAAATAAGATTGTTAAAAATATTCACTGGAGCATAAATAAATTCAATCCACTACCTAACGTGTATGAATATCGACGATGTTAGAAAACACATCAACTGGCGGCCTATTCTTGTAATACACATTTCATCACTAAAGATATCGACGCCTATACATTATTAACTAATAAATTTGTAGCATTTTAGTGGCTTTATAATTATTTTAAAATATGTGGATAAATATTTTTATTTTGAAATTGACATCTTCTCAACATTTGACATGACAAATTCAGACAAATGTGACATTTAAACAGTCCTACCACTACAGTTTTCCCAGAAATACCCCAAAAATCCCCCATTTTGGCGCCGATAACATTGAACAAACCAATTGCGGTACTTTATATATCTAGGGACTTTACTCCGAACTAACCAAACGCGCCGTGCACTCCAAAAAATCTGCAACAAAACATTTTCCGGGCGCGCTCTGAACGACCTGCAACAAAACATTTTGCGCGGAGCGTTCCACCTGTTTGCGGTGTTCGCTGCGTTTCCACTAATAATCACCAGTGTTAGTGTGTTTGTCGACATGGATGCATATGATATTACTTACTATGCTTTTTAATTATAGAGGTATTAGCGGGTAACAAAAAAGAGAAAAAAAGGGAAGAACGAAAAATGTGGGCAAGATGCCTCTTTTTGCGCCGTCAAAATATGGTCTTACTTAGTGACCTAGATTATATGCATATGAAAATTTTTACAAGGATGACTGCAGAAGATTTTGAGAATCTAATATGCTTAGTGGGTCCTAGAATAACCAAGAAAGATACGTCATTTCCACAATTCCAGTACAAGATCGTCTGGCTGTTATACTGCGATTTTTAGCCACAGGAGACTCTTACAGTAGTCTACAATATTTATTTAAAATTTTGAAACAAAGAACTGGCATTATAATTTATTGCAAAAAATACCTGCAACGCACTTATACAAGAACTTGAGTATAAAATAAGGGTATGTATATAAATAGGCATAGTTTAAAACCATCACAAACACAACGAACGTTCAAAACTGCTGTATCCACTGAACATCGGGCAAAGAATAAATTCTTTTGAGAAAATTCCGTTTACCGACAAGCTTCGGAAAATGTTTGGCGCGTTCGATTCGGCGCAACGTACTGACTACGTACACAAACTTGTTACAGCGCGCGCGGCGCGTTTGTTTTGTTCGGAGTGTTTTGTTGCAAGTTTTTAATAATTTATATTAATCCCGTATAATACTAGTATTCAGTATTTTCTAAACCTATGTATACTTAATAAAAGATTAAAAAAAGTGCATACCAAAATAACTACAAAACACAAATACACACTAAAAATATAAATGTTAACTGGCACAAAGAACTTCCAAATAAAAAATAAACAACTTTCCTCACTGTAAACAAACAATAGTATATTATTGAACGAGCAATTTATACCCCTCGCCTACGGCTCGTGACGCAAACGTCACCCGAGTAAATAATGGCTGTAAATTGCGAGTTGAATACTATGCTTTGTCCACGGCCATTATAATAATTATGAGGAGTGTTTTTGAATTTGTATTTTTAATGTTAATCTTACTATTAATTATTGTATTCATGTTTTAGGGGAAAATGTCACTACCTACTTAATACTTAAAATTTGGCAATTTCAAACGTCAAAATTAACTAAAAGATAATAAAAACGTCAATATCATCAGTTGCTATGCATCGAGAGTCGCAGTCATCTCAAACTATTCTATTTTCAAATATTTGAGAAGTTTATTATTAGATGTGTTTTACGACATACCTGTATATTAGTACTTTTTTCTACCACATTTAGTAAAATAAATTTGTTGAAAAATGATAGATCGTTGCGCAGAAGAGCAGCTGACTTTTTGTTGTTTTGTGTAACTAAAGTTGGTAATTTGTGTTTTATTTATCGTTATATATGTATTTGAATTTTATTGATGTTGCTTCAAGTTTTTTGCAATAAAACTTACTTCTACCAATTTTAGTTGAGTACAGTTGTTGGAGAACGATAAATTGGAGTACTAGCATCTGACTTTTTGTTGTTTTCTCTAACTAAAGTTGGTTATTTGTGTTTTATTTAAAGTGATATATGTATTTGAATTTCATTGATATTATTTCAAGTTCTTTGCATGAAAATATCGTACCAACATTCTTTAGTCAATCAGGAGATTGATTTTTGTCCCGTTACAATGGCAACTAAATATACTAATAACACGGATTCGGAAAACGAATTTTTGTCTTTAACAATCCTCCAGTCTAGAAAGTTTTTATAGGCAGACATGTAATGATCCTTAGAGTTTTGTGGTAGCAATCCAAGACTTGTTAATTTGGCCGCCTCTGCTATCTCTGGTGATGTACAGGGCTCATTATCACTCTCATAATTCATTTTTTGATTTTAAACGAGTTCTTGATAATATGCCACTTAATAATCACTACCTACTTAACATTTGACAATTTTAAACGTCAAAATTAATAAAAAAAAGATAAGTAAAACGTCAAATCATCCACGCCGCGCATCGGGATGTTGTGAGTGTCACGTTGGCATAGCAACAAATGTAAAGTAAATGCAAAGTGTGATTTATCATAATTCACTGTTATCAGCTGTTATATTTCACTCTATTACAAATATGGGCACCATACTCCTTCAGCTAGGAAGTAGAATATTGATTTATTATTAAGTGGTCGTGGACAAATATAGTTGTGAGATGTGTAAAACCAAGTCAGTTTATTTTATTTAGTTTCTATGGAAGCACCTATTCAACAATTTTGTTATAAATTTTTAGCATCTATTAGACATCTTTATTTCTGTAATAATTATAATGACTTGGCAATTGCACGGCACCATACTTATAAAAGAATAATCTACCATTTTGATCACTAAGTAAATCTAAACAGTGCACTAAAGAATAAACTTTTTAATTAGTATAGAATATCATGTCGTTCAATTGCCAAGTCATTATAATTATTACATAAAAATAAAAAAATGTCTAATAATGATATTCCTATATCTCTGCATATACAGGATATCAAATATTCTCTACATTTTTGAGTAGCTCACATATCAGAGGCCAATAATTAGAGGCAGACTCATTACTGAATGTTTTCCTTAAACGAACTTTCAAGAAAAAAAGTGTGATGCTCTAGGCGTAAGAGTATAAAAGTTTGTGAAGTTGTTAGAAGTTCATTCGTTTTTATTACCCAACTTATAGACTTTAGTAGACTTGTTGAGATAGCGGGTTAGCCATTTAGATAAGATTTAAGACCACTTTTAGATTCTAAAAATTAATGTAACTAGCTGGATAAGTTTGTTTTGCTTTTCTTTGTAACTTTTTAAATTTAAGTTACTTTATTAGGTTGATTTATTTCATAAATATAAGGTTTTGTTTATCCATTTGGAAGTTTTAATCCTTACCTTAATAAAAATTACATTTTTCGCTATATCTAAAGATTTAGCATCGTGAGTAGTTTTATAATTCTTTTAAGTGTCACGAGTAGGGCCTTAAAGTGGTAAATATTAAAAAATTATTTCAAGTTAATCCATTAAAGTTTGTTTAATCTCTATTTAACGCAGGCCGAACTTCTGCCTTCTTTGCGTTCCATTTATCTGTTATTTTGGCATTTACGCCAAAAAAATCCATTTGATTTTAATATCCCCGTAAGCGTTTCCCTGCCAAAAGAAAAATTTGATTTTTCCTGCAATTTTTGCAAAAGCTTTCTAATTGTGGGGACGACTTTCAATTGGAGATGAAATCTATTTATCAAATTCCTGACCACTTGGAAATCAAAGTCGTCGAGCATTTCAACAGCAGTCTCACGTGGTCGTTTCTTTTCAGGGCTGAATAACATTTTAACGGGGTTAGTTTCCAGCCCTTTTTATCTTCTGTGTGATTTTTTTTTATAGCCGATACTCTAACTACGGTATAAAGAGATATTCGCCTAAATTTACGTTTAAGCGGCAACTTAGCTCTCCGTAGCTTCTTCGTCGCAAACCCTATTATGAACATGAGGAAATAAATCAAATGAGATTTCATTCACGTTTATTTATATTTATTTTAGCTTATCTAAGATATTTTGGTAAAATATATGCTTTTCATTTTAGTCAATATTTAATTTTAAAATTCTAATAATTATATTATTATTATTCTACTTACCGACCTTTTACTTTACCTACCTTAATTTCTCTTGTCTGGCTATGTAGCGCCTTACCCTTAACAAATTTATTCATTTTAAAACACAAATATACGATCAAACTTAATATTAATAGTTAAAAACTACGAACGAAAAACATTATAACAAGATAACAAAACAATAAAACACAACTTAACTATTAAATATACGAAAAGTGGAGGAATAAAGTTTAGGATAACCGGTATAAAATAATGAAAGAAAGTAATACTGATCAAAAGAATGACACCGCCACTGGATATTTCAATAGAATTTAATATTTGTACTCTTTTCAGAAGAGACCGTGAAGTTGGGGAT